GTCATGCCAGTTTCTGAAAATGGTCCCAGAAGGGGCACAACAAAGTTCCAAGCTATTTCACATCCTTGTGCTAGCACGGCATACCGTAGCTTGCACGGCAACTGTGAACTCCAGTAGTAGTTCCAAGCCTTTCACATCCTTGTGGTGGCAGAGCATGGCTTGCCAGCCACATGCACCCACATCCACTCCACCCCTCTTCCCTCCTCTTCCCTCCCGCACTCTCCTCTGTGCCTTGTATCGTGCTGCATTTCACTCCAGCAGCTGCAATGCTGCAGGTAGTTAATTGAGCAGAAAGCATCATGCCGGCCACTCACACACCCAAGCGGTTTCTCGCCAATTCCATTCCACAAATTTAACCTAGGGGTTTCATCCCCCTTCCCTTCCACTCACCCACCCGAGGGGTTTCATCCCCATTCCCTTCCATTACCCACCCAAGGGGTTTCAAACCCCTCCCCTTGCACTGATCCCCCCAAAGGGTTTCAGACCCCTTCCCTTCCCTTCACTCACCCAAACAAGGAATTTCATTTCCTTTCCCTTGCACTCACCCACCCAAGGGGTGTCAAACCCCTTACCTTCCATTCATCCACCCGCGGGGGTTTCAAACCCCCCCATCTTCCATTCACCCAGACGAGGGGTTTCACCCCCTTCACTTCCATTTACCAACCCAATGGGTTGCTTGCCTGCACTATTGTACTCCCTTCCAGCTGGCACAGCACACAGCATGGCACAGCACAGAGCATGGCACGCACATACCCTGCACCACACGCTCATACGCTGCACCGCACGCTCATACGCTGCACCTCCCGCTCATACGCTGCACCGCCCGCTCATACGCTGCACCGCCCGCTCATACGCTGCACCGCACGCTCATACGCGACACCGCACGCTTATACGCTGCACCGCCCGCTCAAACGCTGCACCGCCCGCTCACACGCTGCACCGCCCGCTCATATGCTGCACCGCCCGCTCATACGCTGCACCGCCCCCTCATACGCTGCACCACACGCTCATACGCTTCACCGCCCGCTCATACGCTGCACCGCACGCTAATACACTGCACTGCCCGCTCATACGCTGCACCGCACGCTCATATGCTGCACCGCCCGCTCATACGCTGCACCGCACGCTCATACGCTGCACCGCACGCTTATACGCTGCACCGCCCGCTCAAACGCTGCACCGCCCGCTCACACGCTGCACCGCCCGCTCATATGCCGCACCACCCGCTCATACGCTGCACTGCCCCCTCATACGCTGCACCGCACGCTCATACGCTGCACCGCCCGCCCATACGCTGCACCGCACGCTCATACGCTGCACTGCCCGCTCATACGCTGCACCGCACGCTCATACGCTGCACCGCCCGCTCATACGCTGCACCGCACGCTCATACGCTGCACCACCCGCTCATACGCTGCACCGCCCGCTCAAACGCTGCACCGCCCGCTCAAACGCTGCACCGCCCGCTCAAACGCTGCACCGCCCGCTCATACGCTGCACACCCCGCTCATACGCTGCCACCGCACGCTTATACGCTGCACCGCCCGCTCAAACGCTGCACCGCCCGCTCATACGCTGCACCGCCCGCTCATACGCTGCACCGCCCGCTCATACGCTGCACCGCCCGCTCATACGCTGCACCGCACGCTCATACGCTTCACCGCCCGCTCATACGCTGCACCGCACGCTCATACGCTGCACTGCCCGCTCATACGCTGCACCGCCCCCTCATACGCTGCACCGCCCGCTCATACGCTGCACCGCATGCTCATACGCTGCACCGCACGCTCATATGCTGCACCGCCCGCTCATACGCTGCACCGCACGCTCATACGCTGCACCGCACGCTTATACGCTGCACCGCCCGCTCAAACGCTGCATCGCCCGCTCACACGCTGCACCGCCCGCTCATATGCCGCACCGCCCGCTCATACGCTGCACTGCCCCCTCATACGCTGCACCGCACGCTCATACGCTGCACCGCCCGCTCATACGCTGCACCGCACGCTCATACGCTGCACTGCCCGCTCATACGCTGCACCGCACGCTCATACGCTGCACCGCCCGCTCAAACGCTGCACCGCCCGCTCAAACGCTGCACCGCCCGCTCATACGCTGCACACCCCGCTCATACGCTGCACCGCACGCTTATACGCTGCACCGCCCGCTCAAACGCTGCACCGCCCGCTCATACGCTGCACCGCCCGCTCATACGCTGCACCGCCCGCTCATACGCTGCACCACCCGCTCATACGCTGCACCGCACGCTCATACGCTTCACCGCCCGCTCATACGCTGCACCGCACGCTCATACGCTGCACTGCCCGCTCATACGCTGCACCGCCCCCTCATACGCTGCACCGCCCGCTCATACGCTGCACCGCACGCTCATACGCTGCACCTCCCGCTCATACGCTGCACCGCCCGCTCATACGCTGCACCGCACGCTCATACGCTGCACCGCCCGCTCAAACGCTGCACCGCACCCTCATACGCTGCACCGCCCGCTCATACGCTGAACCACACCCTCATACGCTGCACCGCACGCTCATACGCTGCACCGCCCGCTCAAACGCTGCACCGCACCCTCATACGCTGCACCGCCCGCTCATACGCTGCACCGCCCACTCATACGCTGCACCGCCCGCTCATACGCTGCACCGCCCGCTCATACGCTGCACCGCCCGCTCATACGCTGCACCGCCCGCTCATACGCTGCACCGCCCGCTCATACGCTGCACCGCCCGCTGATACGCTGCACCGCCCGCTCATACGCTGCACCGCCCGCTCAAACGCTGCACCGCACCCTCATACGCTGCACCGCCCGCTCAAACGCTGCACCGCACCCTCATACGCTGCACCGCCCGCTCATACGCTGCACCGCCCACTCATACGCTGCACCCGCACGCTCATACGCTGCACATCACGCTCATACGCTGCACCGCCCGCTCATACGCTGCACCGCACGCTCATACGCTGCACCGCCCGCTCATACGCTGCACCGCCCGCTCATACGCTGCACCGCCCGCTCATACGCTGCACCGCCCGCTCATACGCTGCACCGCCCGCTCATACGCTGCACCGCCCGCTCATACGCTGCACCGCCCGCTCATACGCTGCACCGCCCGCTCATACGCTGCACCGCCCGCTGATACGCTGCACCGCCCGCTCATACGCTGCACCGCCCGCTCATACGCTGCACCGCACGCTCATACGCTGCACCGCCCGCTCATACGCTGCACCGCCCCCCTCATACGCTGCACCGCCCGCTCATACGCTGCACCGCCCGCTCATACGCTGCACCGCACGCTCATACGCTGCACCACCCGCTCATACGCTGCACCGCCCCCTCATACGTTGCACCGCACGCTCATACGCTTCACCGCCCGCTCATACGCTGCACCGCACGCTCATACGCTGCACTGCCCGCTCAAACGCTGCACCGCACGCTCATACGCTGCACCGCCCGCTCATACGCTGCACCGCACGCTCATACGCTGCACCGCCCGCTCAAACGCTGCACCGCCCGCTCATACGCTGCACCGCCCGCTCATACGCTGCACCGCCCGCTCATACGCTGCACCGCCCGCTCATACGCTGCACCGCACGATCATACGCTTCACCGCCCGGTCATACGCTGCACCGCCCCCTCATACGCTGCACCGCACGCTCATACGCTGCACCGCCCGCTCATACGCTGCACCGCCCGCTCATACGCTGCACCGCCCGCTCATACGCTGCACCGCCCGCTCACACGCTGCACCGCCCGCTCACACGCTGCACCGCCCGCTCATAAGCTGCACCGCCCGATCATACGCTGCACCGCCCGCTCACACGCTGCACCGCCCGCTCACACGCTGCACCGCCCACGCTGCACCGCACGCTCATACGCTGCACCGCCCGCTCATACGCTGCACCGCCCGCTCATACGCTGCACCGCCCGCTCATACGCTGCACCGCCCGCTCATACGCTGCACCTCCCGCTCATACGCTGCACCGCCCGCTCATACGCTGCACCGCCCGCTCATACGCTGCACCGCCCGCTCATATGCTGCACCGCCCGCTCACACGCTGCACCGCCCGCTCATACGCTGCACCGCCCGCTCATACGCTGCACCGCTCGCTCATACGCTTCACCACACGCTCATACGCTGCACCTCCCGCTCATACGCTGCACCGCCCGCTCATACGATGCACCGCACGCTCATACGCTACGCTTATACATTGCACCGCCCGCTCAAACGCCGCACCGCCCGCTCACACGCTGCACCGCCCGCTCATACGCTGCACCGCACGCTCATACGCTTCACCGCCCGCTCATACGCTGCACCGCCCGCTCATACGCTGCACCGCCCGCTCATACGCTGCACCGCCCGCTCATACGCTGCACCGCACGCTCATACGCTTCACCGCCCGCTCATACGCTGCACCGCCCGCTCATACGCTGCACCGCCCGCTCATACGCTGCACCGCCCGCTCATACGCTGCACCGCCCGCTGATACGCTGCACCGCCCGCTCATACGCTGCACCGCCCGCACATACGCTGCACCGCCCCCTCATACGCTGCACAGCACGCTCATGCGCTGCACCGCCCGCACATACGCTGCACCGCCCGCACATACGCTGCACCGCCCGCTCATACGCTGCACAGCACGCTCATGCGCTGCACCGCCTGCTTAGTGAAGAGCTCCATTTTTACAGAACCCTACGTAAACTAGCTAGGTTTTACTACTACTGTTTTCTCCTTTGCTAAACCTTCTCCTTAGAAACTGCAGCTCGCTGGAATGTCTGATCATACGCACAGCAGGCTCATGCGCTGCACCGCCCGCTCATACGCTTACTTGGGCCCACCCCACGCAGCGGCCTGCTGCTGCCCGTGCTCCCGGTTGATGGGTTGCTGCTGCTGCTGCCGCTGCTCTTGTGGCGACCACCAGAAAGCATCCCCTGGCACGTACCATTTTCCGTTTGCCGCTCTGCGCCACGCTTTGACTTCTCCTCGCTAAGAAGGTCGGCTCTCGTGCGCGCCAGCCATGGCAGCCCGCCCGTTCCCCGTCCACTCGCTGCCACTCCCGTCCGCCTCGCAGGGCGTGAGGCACCACACGCATGGGGAGAGAGACAGCCACACAGAAGTGGTGCAGCAAGGGAGGGTTAGAAGAAGCCGCAGCGGGAGGCGAGTGGCGAGGCAAGGGCGACAGACACGACTGTTGCCTCTGCGCGGCGACACGCTACGACTCACTTCACTGCCCCCCCGCAAGCACCCCCTGGCACGTACCACCTCCGTCCGCCGCTGTGCCGCTGCTGCGCCGCGCTTTTACTTGGGCCCACCCCACCCCACCCCACCCCACGCAGCGGCGTGGTGCTGGGCGTGCTCCCGGTTGATGGGTTGGTGCTGCTGCTGCCGTTGCCCTCGTGGCGACCACCAGTGCGTCGCTGCAGAGAAGAGGAGAGCACAGGCGAGGAGGGGGTTGGGAGCTGACAACAGAGGCATCAACACATGGCAGCACAGCTGCAAAGACTCAAGGGCTCCGCGGGAAATGAAAGGCAAGACAGAACGGTACAAGGGAAGCAGGAAGATGGTGAATAGAGAAGCGGTATACTGCTTGATCTGATTCACTCACCACTTGTTGTGTGCTTGCTTGCCGTGATCCTGCCGTTGCTGCAGCCACTGGTGATCCCCGAGTCACGCCAGCCAGTGCCCCCTTGAGTGCTGGAGAGAGGGGGAGAAGGATGGCAAGGCGGACAAGAGGCGTGAGCAAGGAGAGGAGAAGCGAGTGTGCGAGAGGGTGAGGATGTGAAAGAGCGCCGACAGGACAGAAGAGATGGTAAAGGAAGATGGAGAAGGGAGTCAGCAAAAACGCAAGTGATGGTGCATTCGCCTGCTGCCGCATCTTCTTTGTGGGTTACCTCTTGTTCTTCCAGGCGATGAGCTGGCAGCCTTCCAACGAGCAATCTGCCACACACTCAAGGGCTTGCAGGCGGACAGGCACACTCCCACTCACAAGGAACGCCCGTCCATTCCCCCTCCACTCCATGCCATTCCCCTCCACCTCGCAGGCCGTCAGGCACACACACGCACACGCATGGGGAGAGAGACAGCAACACAGAAGTGGTGCAGCAAGGGAGAGTTAGAAGGAGCAGCAGGAGGCGAGTGGCGAGGCAAGGGCGACAGAGACGACTCTTGCCTCTGCGCGGCGATACGCTACGACTCACTTCACTGCCCCCCCGCAAGCACCCCCTGGCACGTACCATGCTCCGTCCGCCGCTCTTCCGCTCCTGCGCCACGCCGAACAAGAACAGAGACACGAATATGCCTCTGCGCGGCGACTCACTTCACGGCCCCCCTGCAAGCACCCCCTGGCACGTACCACGCTCCGTCAGTTGCTCTCCCACTGCTGCACCACGAGCAATCCGCCACACTCCGGAGCTTGCAGGCTGAGAGGCACACTCAGAGGCATGCACTCACGCACACGCACACATGCACACCCCCATCCCCCTTTCCCCCCTTCCCCCCGCACACACATGGACAGTCCATGTCCACTCTCTGCCATTCCCGTCCGTCTCACAGGACGTGAGGCACACACACGCATGGGGAGAGAGAGAGACAGCTGTCAGAATATTATGCTCTAGCCTGTAGTGGGGTGCTCTATAGCGAGTACAACCCTTCTAGGGTTTGCTATTTGTATCCTCATTCTTGCTAGTGCAACCCTCCTTCTTCTTTTTAAACTTTCACATGCTATCAGAGCAGGTCCATCCCCTTGGATCGATCCTGTGGGTGGGCTCACCACCTCGTTGCTTCCGCTGCAACTTCCACTACTACCTTCTGTGCCGCACGCCACGGGGCGTGCGGCAGTTTTTCTTCCCGCCGTGCGCCCCGAGGCGCGCGGCGGTTTTCTGCCCGCCGTGCGCCCCGTGGCGCGCGGCGGTTCTCTGCCCGCTGTGCGCCCCGAGGCGCGCGGCGGGCTTCTACCCCGTCACTCGCCGCGTCGCCCTCGGGAGGCGCTGCGACGGGCGACGGGGACCCGCGCGTCGCCCCCCGTCGCCCGTCGTGGCCTGCGCGCGGCCCGTACAGCCGGCGCGCGGCCCGTACGGGCTGCGCCAGGCCTGCGCGCGGCCCGTACGGGCTGCGCCAGACCCCGCGCGCGGCCCGTACGGGCTGCGCCAGGCCCGCGCGCGGCCCGTACGGGCTGCGCCAGGCCCGCGCGCGGCTCGGGCCGCCTGCGCGCGGTTCGGGAGGCTGTGCCAGGCCCGTGGGCGGCCCTTTCCTCGCTGCCCCTGCCCTCCCCGCTGTCCCCCGTGCTTCTGCTGGCGCCCCACCCCTCCTACAGCCCGTTCTCCTGAATTAGGGTTTGGGGGTGAGGGGTATGGGGGTGAAACTACTGTGTGCCGTTCCCTGCTCCTCCTCCTCCTCCGTCTCCCTGTGCTGCAGCTGCCGCTGAGGGGGGGTGGACTTGTTGGAGCCGTTGGAGTGGTGCTAAGGGGGGGTGAAGGGGGAGTGGAGCTAGCGGTGTAGCAGCGGGTGTGTGTCAGGAGGGGTGGTACTGTTTGGGGGAGGTCGAGTGGAGGCAGCAGTCTTGTCGTCAGCAGCAGCAGCAGTCCGGAGGCTACAATCTCCGGTAGTCGCCAGTCGCCCGTGGGTCCGTTGCTCGTCTGCCGCTACTTTTAGCCGCGGGGCCAGTTACCCCAGTAGTCCGGAGCGTTGTTCCGGTAGCCACTGAGCCAGCAGCTCGTCTGTGTGTCTGCAGCGTCAGCAGTCGCCTCCCATCTTCTCTCCCCCACAGTCTCTCCTCCTCCTCACTTGCCCTCTGCGATAGCCTCTAGCTTTGCTCATAATTGTGAACTTTAAACTATTGCTTCTTGAACTTGTGCTCAGAATGTGTGGTGACATTGTGATCCACCCTGAGCTTGTACTGCTTTGCTTGCTCTGCTGATTACACCCCACTTTGGCTATGGGGGTGTGTCAGAATATTATGCTCTAGCCTGTAGTGGGGTGCTCTATAGCGAGTACAACCCTTCTAGGGTTTGCTATTTGTATCCTCATTCTTGCTAGTGCAACCCTCCTTCTTCTTTTTAAACTTTCACAACAGCCACACAGACGAGGCACAACAAGGGAGGGTCAGAAGCAGCAGGAGGCGAGCGGCGGAAGCAAGGGCAATAGACACGACTCTTGCCTCTGCGCGGCGACGCCCTACGACTCACTTCACGGCCCCCCTGCAAGCACCCCCTGGCACGTACCATGAGCCGTCCGCCGCCCTCCCAATTTTGCGCCACGCCTTCACTTGAGGTGTCCACGTCCACGCCTTGCAGGCCACGAGACACACACACACGGGGAGAGAGAGACACACACACGGGGAGAGAGAGACACACACACGGGGAGAGAGAGACACACACACATGGGAGAGAGAGACACACAGAAGCAGCGCAATAAAGGAGGGTTAGAAGCTGCAGGTGGCGAGTGGTGGAGCCGCAAGCAACAGACATAACTCTTGCCTCTGCGCGGCGACACCCTATGACAACTCACGCCCCCCATACAAGCACCCCATGGCACGTACTTTGCTCCTCCGTCTGCCGCCGTGACACTCGCCCGCTCTGCCTGCTGCACCACGCCTGCGTGCTGCTCCATGTTGCTCCGTTGCTGCTGCGCCAAGCCTTTGCCCCAAGCAACGCCCTGCTCCTGCCCGTGCTCCAAGTCGCTCGCCGTCCGCTGCTGCTGCTGCTGCTGCTGCTGCAGTTGTTGCTCTCGTCGCAACCACCACTGCGTTGCTGCAGAGAAGAGAAGGGGACAGGAAAGGAGGGGTCTGGGAGTTGAGAAGAGTTGAAAACCATGGCAGCACAGCTGCAAAGACTCATGAGCACCGTGGGAAAATGGTAGACAGAAGAGAACGGAACACGGAAAGCAGGAAGATGGCGAAAAGTGAAAAGTGAAGTGGTGAATTTGACCTGATTCACTAACAACCTCTTGTGTGCTCGCCATCATCTTGCAGTCGCTGCAACCACTGGTGATCCACTGCCTGCCACTCGCTGCCAATCCCGTCCGTCTTGCAGGCCGTGAGGCACACACACGCATGGGGAGAGAGAGAGACAGCCACACAGACTAGGCACAACAAGGGAGGGTCAGAAGCAGCAGGAGGCGAGTGGCAAAAGCAAGGGCAACAGACACGACTCTTGCCTCTGCGCGGCGACACCCTACGACTCAATTCACGGCCCCCCTGCAAGCACCCCCCGGCACGTACCACTTCTCCTCCTTGGCAGAGCCTGCCGCTCCTGCGCCACGCATTCGCCCCAAGCAGCACAGCACCCTGCTGCGGCCCGTGCTCCAGACTTGAGACGTTGCTGCTCCTGCTTCCTGGTTGTCTGCTGCTGATACCTGCAATAACAAGGGACTGTGGCTTGTGAGTTGGGCCAGAAGCAACCTGGCAAGAGTTCAGAGGACGAAGCAGCGCATCACATGCAATACAAGTGATGAGCGCTTGACATCACAAAAAGCAAAGCGTTCGGAGGAGAAAATACTTGGCTGGAAAGTAAAGACGCTGTTGCTACTGCTGCTTGAAGTCACCAGCGCTGCTGCATTCACCAGCGTGGCTGCTGTGACTCGGGCAGGAACGAGACCCGCACACTTGTCACTTCCCCTCCACTCCCTGCCATTTCCCATCTCACAAGCCATGAGACACACACACACAAGGGAGAGACGCACGCAGACAGAAGCAGTGGAACAAGGGAGGGTTAGAAGCAGCAGGAGAGGAGGCGAGTGGCAGAGGCAAACGCAAGAGACACGACTCTTGCCTCTGCGCGGCGACTCAATTCACTGCCCCCCTGCAAGCACCCCTCCGTGCACGTACCACACTCCGACCGCCACTCTCCCACTCCTGCGCCATGCCTTCACTTGAGGCGTGCTGCTCCTTGCTGCCTCTCGTGCGTGCCAGCAACGGCCGCCGCGTCCATTCCCCATCCACTTCCTGCCAGTCCACCTCGCAGGCCGTGAGGAACACACACGCATGGGGAGAGAGAAACACACACAGTAGCGGCGCAACAAGGGAGGGTTAGGAGCAGCAGGAGAGGAGGCGAGCAGCAAAGACAAGAACAAGAGACACGACTCTTGCCTCTGCGCGGCGACTCACTACACATCCCCCCTGAAAGCATCCCCTGACACGTACCCTGTTCCGTTTGCCGCTCTGCGCCACGCTTTGACTTCTCCTCGCTAAGAAGGTCGGCTCTCGTGCGCGCCAGCCACGGCAGCCCGCCCGTTCCCCGTCCACTCGCTGCCGTTCCGCGTCCGTCTCGCAGGGCGCCCACACGCATGGGGAGAAAGGCAGCCACACAGAAACGATGCAACAAGTGAGGGTTAGAAACAGGAAGATGCGAGGGGTGGAGGCAAGGGCAGCAGACACGACTGTTGCCTCTGCGCGGCGACGCTCTACGACTCAATTCACGGCCCCCCTGCAAGCACCCCCTGGCACGTACCATGCTCCGTCCGCCGCTCTGCCACTCCTGCGCCACGCCTTCACTTGAGGCGTGCTGCTCCTGGTTGCCTCTCGTGCGAGCCAGCAACGGCAGCCCCGTCCATTCCCCGTCCACTCGCTGCCACTCCCGTCCGCCTCGCAGGCCGTGAGGCACACATGCGCATGGGGAGAGAGACAGCAACACAGAAACCGCACAAGAAAGGGAGAGTTAGAAGCAGCAGGAGACGATTGGCGGAGGCAAGGGAAACAGACAAGACTCTTGCCTCTGCGCGGCGACGCCCTTCACTGCCCCCCTGCAAGCACCCCCTGGCACGTACCATGCTCCGTCCGACGCTCTGCCACTCCTGCGCCACGCCTTCACTTGAGGCGTGTGCTCCAGGCTGCCCCTCGTGCGAGCCAGCAACGGCAGCCCCGTCCATTCCCCGTCCACTCGCTGCCACTCGCTTTTTGACGACGAAAGCAGCAGCACCACCACTCTGCCGCTGAACGGCAATAACGTCGGGTTTACAGCGAAAGCAGCAGGGACGTCGCAGCAGCGTTGCGTTGACGCGGATTCAGCAGGAATGTTTCTTGGACGCCGGAAACGGCAGTGAGAATGTTTATATGGTAGAAACAGCAGTGAGGTCGCTTTGTCGGCAGGAGCAGCAGGTAGGCGTCGACGGCTAAAGCCGCGACGGCGTTGCGATTCTGGCGGATGCAGCAGGAAAGCTCAGCGCCTAAAGCAGCGACGACGTTGCGATTCTGGCGGATGCAGCAGGAAAGCTCAGCGCCTAAAGCAACGACGACGTTGCGATTCTGGCGGATGCAGCAGGAAAGCTCAGCGCCTAAAGCAGCGACGACGTTGCGATTCTGGCGGATGCAGCAGGAAAGCTCAGCGCCTAAAGCAGCGACGGCGTTGCGATTCTGGCGGATGCAGCAGGAAAGCTCAGCGCCTAAAGCAGCGACGACGTTGCGATTCTGGCGGATGCAGCAGGAAAGCTCAGCGCCTAAAGCAGCGACGGCGTTGCGATTCTGGCGGATGCAGCAGGAAAGCTCAGCGCCTAAAGCAGCGACGACGTTGCGATTCTGGCGGATGCAGCAGGAAAGCTCAGCGCCTAAAGCAGCGACGACGTTGCGATTCTGGCGGATGCAGCAGGAAAGCTCAGCGCCTAAAGCAACGACGACGTTGCGATTCTGGCGGATGCAGCGGGGAATCTCAGAGTCTAAAGCAGCGACGACGTCGCGATTCTGGCGGGAATAGCGGGTACGTCCTGCGCGATGACGTAAACAGCAGCGACGCTGCAATGCCTTAACGTCGTCTCCGCCTACCATCCGAAGTTTTTGGGATAGGGATAAGACAATGGTATAAATCCTGACGTACGATCCGTCTCTTCTGAAGCAGCAACTTATCGTGCTATCCGCCTTTGCTTGACATCAGATCCATCGTAACCGCTAGGATACCTTCTTATCTAGGAATCCCAGTTCTCCACGACTTACGCCGTCCTAACTACATCAGGCTTAGAATGGCAATCATAGCTATCGGTGACGACTAATGTCCTGTCAGCAAACGTAACTCAAGTGCAGGTACGTGAGAGTTCTAGAGGCTGGTGGTGTGATCAGTAGCTCACATAACTGGAGCTGGAAAGAAAGTGAAGATTGGAGAAGCTTGGGTTGATCCTGCTGAGGAGAAACAAGGTGACGTCCCCCGTCAACACTCAACTGGAAGGCGGGGGAGCGGCGAAAATTTGACAAACTATCGTTCCATGCCAATTTGATTCTTGGCCTCCGAAACCTAGGGGCAAGTGAGCAAGCAGGGGCCTAGAAGTAGTGAGGTTCGGTTCGGAAGATCAGTGCGAAGCAGGGATTGGCTGGCCGAAGCTGTTCCGTGTCAGTCAGAGTGCAAGTTTGAAAAATTGGAGGGAAACTAGCGCCTCGAAGAGAGGTCCGACGAGGTTCGGACGGACGACGGAGAATGGAGAACACAGAACATGAAGTTAGCTGAAAATTTATACGCGACAAGTAGCCTACGAGCCAACACAAGCACAATGCAACTAGTATTGCTGTTACATCATATATTAAAAGCGTTTAATTTAGAGCACTGTTATTATATTGTCTTGTACAGCTCTCAGCATTATGGCATGGTATAAAACACTTACAGAGCTATCAAGATATCTCACAATGTGCAAGGTTGCACGAGTTATTCACATTAGTCCGAGCGAAGCAACAGTAGACTAGGACGGGCATAATTACTTGTGCATCCAACTCATATTTCAGCACCAAACCAGAGTCCAGCAGTGAGGGCAAATCTTTCCACGGCCGTGAGGGCAAATCAAACTCATCATGTGCCACCAACAACAGGTGGCATCAGTGCGACTCATCATGTGCCACCAACAACAGGTGGCATCAGTGCAACTCATCATGTGCCACCAACAACAGGTGGCATGAGTGCAAGTTGGAAGGAACTGAGGGAAGGAACTGAGGGAGGGAACTGAGGGAGGGAACTGAGGGAGGGAACTGAGGGAGGGAACTGAGGGAGGGAACTGAGGGAGGGAACTGAGGGAGGGAACTGAGGGAGGGAACTGAGGGAAGGAACTGAGGGACGGAACTGAGGGACGGAACTGAGGGAGGAACTGAGGGAAGGAACTGAGGGAAGGAACTGAGGGAAGGAACTGAGGGAGGGAACTGGGGAAGGAACTGAGGGAAGGAACTGAGGGAAGGAACTGAGGGAGGGAACTGAGGGAGGGAACTGAGGGAGGGAACTGAGGAGGGAACTGAGGGAAGGAACTGAGGGAGGGAACTGAGGGTGGGAACTGAGGGAGGGAACTGAGGGAGGGAACTGAGGGAGGGAACTGAGGGAGGGAACTGAGGGAGGGAACTGAGGGAGGGAACTGAGGGAGGGAACTGAGGGAGGGAACTGAGGGAAGGAGAACTGAATGAGGAGGGAACTGAGGGAGGGACACTGAGGGAGGGAACTGAGGGAGGGAACTGAGGGGAGGGAACTGAGGGAGGGAAACTGAGGGAAGGAACTGAGGGAAGAACTGAGGAAGGAACTGAGGGAGGGAACTGAGGGAGGGAACTGAGGGAGGGAACTGAGGGAGGGAACTGAGGGAGGGA